ATCTCTTTCTGTTATATCACACTGTACTCCATTCGACAATCTACATTATTAAAAAAAAAAAAAATCTACAATTATGAATTCATTCGAGAGTATATTTTTATCAATTCATAATCCTTTTACTTGATTCTTTTTCAATCAAAATATATGAATTCACATATTTATGGTGTTACTCTGTCCATAAATTTACAAAAAAATTGCATGAAAAAACATAAATCACCCATGTCATTTTACGAGTATCCTAATTTCTGTATATCACATCATTACTCCATTCGACAATATACTAATTCGAAAAAAAATCTATAATTATGAATTCATTCGAGATATATTTTTATCAATACATAATCCTTTAAATTATTTTTTTTCAATCGAAGTATATGAATTTATGTATTTATGTTGTCTACTTATGATAGATTTACAAAATATATATTACCAACGTCATTTTAAGTTATTCTTCTTTTGTATATCACAGTCGTACTCCATTCAATAGTCGACACTAATTCGAAAAAAAAAAATAAAATTCTACGGTCGTGAATTCTTATGATGACAAAGGAGAAGGAAAAAGGATCTTTCTTGAGAGGTTCGCTGGAATCCAAGGATACTGGATCTCTCTTTAAAAGTTGAAAATGAGTCACCACAAATCACTATCTCTATTTAAGTGGGGAAATGCATGAATGGGAGCGCCTGTCTTTTTATATAATAAAAATCCAAGATATTGCCACCATCATCCATGATGTCATTTGCTTTCCCATTTCTACTTTTTAAATTTAAATCCCGTGCAAGGCAAGATTACCAAATCCAACCTTAGTGGGACAATATCTTTTACATACAACGTGGTTAATCTCCTTTGAGTCATGAGATTATGTCACGATTACCTTTTTTTTTTTTTTTTTTTTTTTTTTGTTAAGGAATAAGGATAACGATGTTAAAACAATACGGTTATTTTTATATTATTTTAAAAGAAATATCAAAGGTCATGTTTGGTTTATTATTTTTATCCCTATTCTTAATCTTATTCTCTAAATAATATTTGACATATTATTCCAGAAATATTACCTTATTTTTTAATTATTTTTAGACCTCATAAGGTTATTAATTTCATCAAATACACCCTGAAAAAAAGTTTAAAAATTATCAAAAATACCCCCACGATCCATACTTGCCAGATTCCAACAACCATCGTCAGTGGTAGTCAGAATCTATACAACGGCCTACCTGACTACCATAAATGGTTGGAAGTTCACCGATCTGGCCGAAAAAGGCCAGATCTGGCCGTGAACGACGACCAAAGAAATGGTCATCGTTGAGGTCAACGACAGCCAAATCTTGGCCATCGTTGACTGAAAACGACGGCCATATCTTCGGCCGTCACTGAAGGCCAAACATGACCGTCGTTTTAGCCTTTTTCGATTGTCGACGGCCACGGCAAGCCTTAGATCTGGCCTTTCCCGGTCAGATCCGCGGTGGATCTAGCCTGAAAAGGTCATAACGATGCGTTACGATACAAATCCGACCGGTCTGTATCGTAACACGATTTTCTAACCAGATTCCGACGGTGGTGGCCGGAATCTGGCACTGCAGGTGGTGGGGGTATTTTTATCATTTTACATGTTAGGATATTTATTAAATTAGCAAACTTAGGGGGTTATTTTATAAATTTTTAAATTTTACCTCGTAATACTCCCATATACAATTATCCAATACTATCCCCAAAATAATTTATTCGTTAACACTAGTTTTTGGACGAACGAAAAGAATGATGAATACAATTTGACGGACTTTCAGACGATCGTTCTTGGAAGTTATGGAATGAGGGAATTGTATTTCCCAAGCTAGAGTGAATGTTCAACAGACAAACAAAAAAAGATCAAACTACAAAATAATAATAATAATAATAAATACTCAAAATATTGCATTTATGGTAAAGGAAGGCTGAAGAAAATGACCCATAGCCTAAAGGCTTGACTTTTGGATAGACGTCAAGAGAGAAATTTCAATGCTCATGGCTTGACTTTTGACATACTAGACAAAAAAGATTTGATCAAAACCCTTACTTCTTTTTAGTACATAGTTTTATAAAATCCAAGTGCTTTAGCAAATTAACATTTAAAATTTTGATTTTGTAAAAGCACAATTACAAAAATATCCTCATATAAACTAAGATTGATTACAAAATAAATTCATAAAATTCATTTCAAAAGAACGAAATTGAGAAATGAGTCATATTGATCGATCGTTAGATAGTTATCAAATCACTTCGAATCCGACAACATTGTCCGCGTAGAAATAATTTGGGTATGATTCCACTAAAAGCCCTATTCAGCCTGTGAACAAGGCTTTGCAATTTGGGCCTTTTCATTTTGAACCCCTCATGTTGGTCCATGGTCATCTTTGTTTTTTAGGGCTTGAGCTATTAAGACTTTTTTTATTTTTTTTATTTGATTGAAATATTAGTTAATTTTATTAAAATATTAACTATCAATTAGTGCATACATCCTTTGATAACAGCGTAGTTTGACCCATTACCAAAAATAGCTTGTAAAACTAAGAGTAAACGACATATTCCCACCCAAGGTTTGACAAAATCCCAAGTTAGTACCATTGGTTCCATTTATTATAAATTCCCACCCTTAAAGTAACAATAATATAAATTTTTAGGGTTTAGAGGGTGCAATTACCATAATGCACTTAACCCTAAATTAATAAATTATGTTTTAACCCCTAAATTAGTATAATTAAAAAACTTACCATTTTATTTTCAAATTATATCAAAAACACCCTCGGTCACTGTACACGATCGGGCTGTTTCCGATGACGTCGAACCCTCTGGTCACCTCCATCACCTTCCCTGTAGCCCGTATGCCAAAACCCCTCTGGTACCCGACTCATTTGCCCCTCCAATTGCTGGCATCGTTAGGCTTAGGGTTTCGGTGTTCTTCATCGGATTCCGATCGATTCCGACGGTGAAAATCCAATTGGACACTACCAATGCAACCACCGTCTCCAAATCTATAAAACCCCTATGTCCAAGCAACCGTTTCGTCGTCATTCGCTGGTTGAGAGTTCGTGTTTATCAGTCGTTTTTCGTTGCCGTGGCCGGCGATCGGCGAGTGATGAGGGGTTGTGAATGGTATGGTTTTATAGAGGGGAGGATGAGGGTTTAAATGGTGATGACAAGGGTGATTTTGGATGGAAGAATACCGAAAAAGAGCTAAAAATGTCGGGAATGACGGTTGCTAATGTGCACCGGAGGATTGTTAGAGGCGGTGGTCTGCTAACGTGCGCCGCCCATGTAAAATGATCAATTTACCCTTTTACCGTTATATCAAACATTTTTCCGTCACTTTAAGGGTGAAAATCTGCAATAAATAAAACTAATAATACTAACTTGAGATGTCGTCAAACCTTGGGTGGGAAGATGTCGTTTACTCTAAAATTAATGTCATGTCTATATTATTAAATACGGAACAAAATATTTATCAACACATATTAAACTGTTATTAGACTGAATTATATATTCCGTCGCATCGAGTACATGTGAGATTTTTTTATTAGAGGCAAAACTTCTCCGTCCGTCGAATACATGTGAGATTTTTCCATTAGAGGCAAGACTATGTTTATACGGTCTTATATGTCATAATTGGATAAAATTTATACACCATCACATTGAAGAATATTTCCATCTCAATTAAAAAGAAAAAACCGAAAACAAATAGAAGGTGGTTAAAATGGTCAATTTCTTAAAGAAAAATTATAAAATAAAGTAACAAATCATTCATATTATAAGTCAATATTTTCACGTCATGTTTGTATTTTTTCTCTTTTTATATAAAAATATTGATACGATACGTATGTAAATACTAACTTATGATACGGTGATTATATTATTACCGTGATGTTATAGACTTTTACATCCTTTAATTAAAAATAAAAATAGTCATTATTAAGGGTGTGTTTGCTTTGTTATTTTAGATAAAATTTTGGGAATAATATTGGGTAGTTGAATAAAGTGATTATTACGATGTAAAATTTAACAAAAAACCCCAAGGTTTGCTAATTTAACTAAACACTCTAATATATAAAAAATTTGTAAAATGACAAAAGCACCCCCACCCACCCACAGTGTCAGATTCCGACCACTACTGTCAGAATCTGGTCGGAATCTGTTGTTATGACGCAGACTAGTCGGATCTGGCCAGTGGTGCGTCGATTTGACCTTTTTGGCTAGATCAACGGTCAGATTTGGCCGTCGACGACTGCAAAAAGTTAGATCTTTCGGCCAGATCTACCATAGATCTGGCCAGAAAATGTTAGATTGGTGAATAAACAGCTAGTTTCGGTCGTTTTTAGGCCGTTGTGACAAATTCTAACCACCACTGACGGTGGTTGCTGAAATCTGGTAACTATGGGTGGGTGAAGTTGTTTTTGTTAATTTTTAAACTTTTTTTCTGAGATGTTTAATTAAATTAATAAATTTAAGAGTACTTAAAATAATTAAATAAAATATAATATTATTTCCTAAATAATAAAACAAACAATTATTTTGGGAATAGGGTATGAAAGGACAAAATAAACACACCCTAAGCTATTTGTCTCTCCATGATTGGCCAAGGAGATCCATGTTCTCCTCTCAAACATATCCTTTACACACCGAATCATCTCGATTGATTTATCTTCAATGTATTATTTTTTTCAGTTCCCATAACAGCCAGCTATGAATTTGTCAAACTCTTGGATCAACAATTCAATAATTTCAATCAAACCCATGTTAAATTCTCCCTCTTATAACAAACCCACGCAATGTCTCACTAGATTTCAAAACGTTTGCTTAAATAAACACGTAAAATAATGATGTATTCACATGCCATGCCATCTTTATCGTCGTCTTCTTCCTTTTAACTTATAAATTTATAACTCTTTTTTCAAGCTTTTCCCAGATCCCAAAAGTATCTTTTAACTCAGATTCAATTCAAAGAAATTCTCTATATTCTGATTTTTCATCCATGGCGTCTCTGAATTTGAGCCACATCAGAGGGGACTCTGCCTTTGCTGAGTTCCCTTTAACTCGTCTGGTTCGACCCAGTTTGAGTTTACCCGCTGGCCGAGTTGGGTTCAGAGTGTTGGGTCAAGCTCAGGCTTCCTCAGAACCGGATTTGAGTGTTAAAGTAAATGGACTTCAAATGCCCAATCCGTTTGTTATCGGGTCGGGGCCTCCTGGAACCAACTATACTGTCATGAAGAGAGCCTTTGATGAAGGCTGGGGCGCCGTGATCGCAAAAACTGTGAGTTGTTCTTATTTTTTTAATTTCTCTTAGCCCCTTATATTTATGTTTCATTACATTCTGGCCCCTAGTTTATGGATGTTTACCTTCAATACGGATTTATAGGTTTCATTAGATGCAGCAAAGGTTATAAATGTAACGCCAAGATATGCCCGCTTGAGAGCGGACGCCAATGGCTCTGCCAAAGGGCAGATTATTGGGTGGGAAAACATAGAACTGATAAGTGACCGGCCACTCGAAACAATGCTGAAAGAATTCAAGCAATTGAAGGAAGAGTATCCGGATAGGATTCTCGTTGCTTCAATTATGGAGGAGTATAACAAGGCTGCTTGGGAGGAGCTAATTGATCGAGTCGAGCAAACAGGAATTGTAAGATTAATGATTAGTTTTTGTGTTCTGAAATTTGTTTTGTTTACTGGTGAGCATTAATTTCTAAATTTTTCTTTGCGGATTGTATTATCATTGTGTAGGATGCTATTGAAGTTAATTTCTCGTGCCCTCATGGAATGCCGGAGCGAAAAATGGGGGCGGCTGTTGGCCAAGATTGCGGGCTGCTGGAAGAGGTTTGTGGCTGGATAAATGCGAAAGCTACTGTTCCTGTGTGGGCGAAGATGACTCCTAACATTACTGACATTACTGAGGTCTGCTTTAAAACACGACTTAATTTACTTATTAAATTAACCTTCATCATGTAGTGCATTGATATAGTGGATGAGATTGTAGTGGAAAATTCGTCTTTTAGGATGATTTTAGATTGGGATAAACTATAATCAGTTATACTTTCCTTCTATCACCTTTTCAGAAATTCTTGATATTCTAGATGTATATTGAAGATCTTTTTTTTTTTTTTTTTTGCATATTCTTTTACATTTTTCTGGAAGCTTATTGCATTATTTTATTGATAACTGATGCATCATCCTACATTGATATGTTATAGCCGGCGAGGGTGGCTCTGAGATCTGGATGCGAGGGGATAGCTGCTATTAACACAATCATGAGTGTTATGGGAATCAATCTCAAGACTTTGCGACCTGAACCTTGTGTTGAGGGGTTGGCATTCTCAAATTGAGCAAAATATGGGACTTCTCCTTTTTTTTTTTTTTTTTAAATTTTTAAAGAAATTGATTTATTTAAAATTTGTTATTAGATACTCTACGCCTGGAGGCTATTCTTGCAAGGCAGTCCATCCTATTGCACTGGCAAAAGTGATGAATATTGCAAAAATGATGAAAGCCGAATTTAATGATGGGGATTACTCACTTTCTGGTATTGGAGGTGTTGAGAAAGGTGCTGATGCTGCTGAATTTATTCTTCTTGGAGCAAATACCGTTCAGGTAGGTCCAAAACATAATTCTCTAGCTGTTTTCTTTGGTAATAACAATGTTTTTCATCGTTAATGTCCTGTCAAATTTTAGTATCTCGGTTGCGCATTTATATATATGGTTGGTTTGTAGTTGTAATTCAAAATGCTATATGGACATCTAGTGCAGTTCCATATTCGTAGGCTTCATAATCTTCTTTCTTTCCTTGAATATGATTTTAACTTGTACAGTAATTTTATTTCTCAAGAGCTTGACATCTGCACACCAGAAGGAACTTACAATTGCTCTAATTTGACTTCATTCTCAGTTGCTTTATATGACTATTATTACCTTGATTTATTGCTGATTTACTGGGAAAAGGTTAGATTTTTGACAAAGTTTTGTAATTTGTTTATGCTTTGAGCTTCTTCGCAAACTGTTAACTTTGAATCTTTAATATTGTTCTCATAAAACAGTTTTGTAGTTCATGACCGAAGAAGTTTAGATAACCGTCCTCTTGTTTGACCTGTCTATGTTTGCCAAGTTCTGGCTTTTTCTCCAACTCAATACTGGTCAACCCCTTTACTTACTTCTTTCAGTAAATCTTTTTTTTCTTCTGGTTGTTTGGTTGAACATGAATACATGCTTTAATTTGTTCATTACTTGGTTTTTAGACATGTTTATGTGTAACAAATATGTTGTGTTGGGGTCTTCATGCAAGACATAGGTCACTGGCTCGAAAGCTGCCTAGACTGTGAAATTTTGTGTAAAGAAACGGTTCTTGATCTATGTTTATGTTCACAGCCATCAAATGCCAATCTTTGACTGAACATCAACAGTGATGGGAATCTTTCTAATTTTTACTTTTGGTATGCTTGTAAATGTTCAGTGCATAAATTCATTGACAATTACTAGAATTTGCAGTTCTCCGTAAAAGCAATGGCGTAATTTAGAATTCTCATTGTATTTAATATTATATATGATCTGCTGTAGTAGAAATGCTGAATTAATTGATAGTCCAAATATCTGACTCAAAACATTCCATTTTTCTATGCATTTTCTATTCATCACGAAGACTTAAGATCAAACTATTTCTCTTTATTATTGGCGCATTGTTTACGCCATTACTTCTGTTTATAGGTCTGCACTGGTGTTATGATGCACGGATATCCCCTTGTGAAGAAACTTTGTGAAGAGCTGAAGGACTTCATGAGATCGCACAATTTCTCAACCATAGAAGATTTCCGAGGGTATGCATTATGCTCTGTATCTGAGACACCAATCTTAAGAAAGTTTAAGATAATTGCAGGGTATACTGATACTATTTTCTTCTTCTTTGGTGGACTTTTAGGGCTTCTCTAGAGTATTTCACAACTCACACAGACTTAGTACAGCGACAGCAAGAAGCGATCCGACAGAGGAAAGCCGTGAAGAAAGGATTGCAATCCGACAAAGACTGGACCGGGGATGGCTTCGTGAATGAGACGGAAAGCATGGTTTCTAACTGATTTTCACAACTGCAATCAGCCTTTGCTCTTGTATCATTCAAATAAACTGGGCTCTAAACTCATCTCTCTTGTGAGTTGAACCTAACTTGACTGTATAAATAACAGTAATGTTCATATATATGTCAAGTAACTCCTCTCAAATACATCGAAATTGCATTTTTAAGCATTCAGATTCTGGGAATCAGTTTAGTCTTACAAGGAGTTGAATCTTAATTTTGGTTGTGCCAAAAGGACAATCAACTATCGATGTTGGGATGAGAATTTTAAGATATCATTCGGAACGTGAAATAGTGTTTGTACCGAGACAGTTCTCGACTCATATATATTTAAACAATATTAATTTAAGAGTAATGCTCCAGTTACTGAAGGATGCGTATCGAATTCGTGCACTGAATGACGTGACATAATCCTGACTGTTGATTCATTATAAGTTAATTTTAATCAACGGTCATGATTTTGTTACGTCATTCAGTGAATGGATTCGGTATGTAATTTTCGGTAACTCTATCATTTTTCTTAATTTAACGTACGGTGGATAATATGGCTTACACCATACAAAAGAAGTGATGAAGCCATAAACCCATAAGTTGAAAAACACTTCCAAACTCTTTATACAAACTTTTCAGAAGGTGACCGAAAAGAGTGAAAGTACTGAAGAAGTCAATGAAATAGGAGGTAATATTATAACAATGAAAGAATAATATAGCATTATTTTGTATATAAATTCGTATACAAAGTTTGTATATGTAATATTACCTCATTTATTTTAAAATGGTATAAGAAATGAGCAACGTTATGTCAATATATATGTTTTTAACCCATAAAACTTTTTTTTTCTCTTAAATGTACCTAACAATTTAAAAAGAAAAAAAAAAAATTACTATAATTTAATATTAAAAACCAATTTTCTTTTGTGTCTACTTTAACCAAATAACATATGTAATTAAATTGAATCCCTCATGAAATTAATTTCACAGACACTCATTCAATATCGGTTATAGTGTGCCAGTTCAAGGACAAATTGAAAACAAAACTACTACTACACATTGCACATATTAGGTACTCAATGTATATATAGTAAGCACATTGAATAAACCAAAGTCATTTTTGGTGGTTTATTTCATATCACTAGTAATCACTTTCCCCTGCAACCAAAAAAAAAAAAAAAAAAATCAGATAAATATACATAAAATCTTTGTATAGAAAGTGCTGTGATACAAAATAAATAAATGTCATCATAAACTATTTAATTGCTCTATGAAAGATGAGAGCATCTATGGTATAAGACGTGTTTTTTTTTTCGTTACTGGGGTTGTCCGACCAACTTACTTGCACTTCAACTATTTCTCTGGTTTTAAACAAGGCTTCCGAAACAAGACAAGCCTTGTGGTCCGTAACTGACAATATTAATAATCATTCTCTTGTGATTTAAACCGGAAACCACAGGAGAAACCCCTTGGTCCTAAGCTTTTATCACTTAGCTAACCCATTGTTGGTTATGTTGTGTTGTTTTTAACAGTTAAGGAATGCTGTTTTTTCTAGTTTTACATAGAGGGATTACCCAGAACAAAATTAGCTTACCGGAAGATGTTTGAGGAGGTGGAGGACCGGTGGTGGTTGTGAGCTCCCTAAGCTGTGAATGCATGGTGTTGAGGAATGCTAGGGTTTCTTGTTGAGGTTCTTCCATGGCTTCTTTCAGCTTGCCCAATGCCAAGCAGTATGCTTCCTGCACCCATTAATAAATAATCTTTATGCAAGGGAAATTGCACACATGAAATATAGATCTCAAATCTACTATGATTTATTGATTTGTATTCCCAAAAACAAGTTCATTATAATGAAATTAATTACATAGTCAATCTTCAAGGCTGGCTCCCTTTAGGATCAATTTTCTAGGCTCGTCCCTTTGTATTCCCAAAAACAAGTTCATGATTATTAACGAGCTTAACCTAATTTCACTGCAAATTTCTAGCCTAACAATTATATAATAACTATCGAAAGAAAATTGATGGAGATCTACAGATGTTACCATGAAATGGTCAAGCTCTGAAAGATTATGCAGGCTATTACTGGGCTTGCTTTCATCATCTTGCTTATAATTAAGCTCTTGATCTTCATCTCTTTCTGCACTCAGAATGTTTCCCAACTGCCAAAATAAAAATTTAAAGCAAGATTAAGAATATTAATCAGGGTTTACTATCTAAAAGCTTCGACTAGATTTGACCCTAATGTTCTGATCAGGATCTTTGATCACTTCATAAACATACGTTACTTTTTCACACAAACATCCCAAGATTTGAGGATTAAGGGATCTTTATTACACATTAAACCTTTGAAAGTCTTTGAAAGTTTGCAGTTTACACCCAGAGGACAAAGCAAAGCCCTATTATAGCATTATCCTAATCTCTCTCTAAACCAATAATGTTTATCCTTCAGTTTAAGCACAAAAACAAAAGAAACACAGTAAGAAAGAGAGAAAGAGAGAGAGAAAAATTAAAGACCTTTAAGCAGCCCATGTGACTCTCCATCAAGAGGCCGTACAAAGGATGGCTTGAGATTCTTCTCTTGATAGTTTCTTTATTATGATCTTTCTCTTCTTCTTCTTCCTTTTCCCTCCTGCTGCTGCTGCTGCTGCTCTTATTAGCAGCTTCCATTATTAATTATTTCTCTTCTTCTTCTTCTCTTTCTATATACAGTGTAGAGCTGAGGTTAGTTCATTGGCTTTTCCTATTTTTCGGTTGAATGTTCTGCACAGCTGGGTATTTGGTTCTATGTATGGTAAAATATTTCAGTACCTCTCCTCAACTGTTCCCAATTTCTTTCGATTGACACATGCATGCAAATATTAATTGGTTTTCGTCAGAAATCTGCATAATTACATGTTAGTCCCTGTGTTTTTGCTCTACTACTCAAAGATACTTTTATCAAATAATAGCATTTTAACTATCTCTGGGTAGCTGAGTGGTTTAATAGAGACTCTTGGATGTATTACTCAAAAAATCCTGAGTTCGAGTCTCTTCTCAATTGCTAATAGGGGTGACCACAGGAATTTTTATCCGACTGATAGTTCTAAGATCCTGGGAGATTAATTAAGGTGCGTATAAGCTGACCCAAATACCGTCGGTCATAAAAAAAAAAGTAAAAAATACTAGCATCATACTCCTTCAATTTAACAAAACTTTGTTTGATAGTTTAGTCCTTGTGTTCAAATGCTTGTTCCGTAACTTGTGTGGTGTATATCCAAATGATGAAAATGCCCTTTTAGAAATTAATTAAAAATGATTTACACAAACAATATTAGTAGATACAGTGTTTGTTTAATTACTGGAGGAGCATAGTTCACAAGTACTTACATTTATGGGGTAGTTGAAATTAGAATCAAAGATCAGAGATATATGGGAGAGAGAAAATGGCACAAGTTGATTGGGAACCCTAAGTTTAGAAAGGAAAGGTAAGAGAATGGAAGAATGGAACGGTGAGAGAGAGTAAGAGAGTGTTAGGATCCCACATTAGAAGGAAAAAATGTGGACATGTGGGTTATAAGGGTTTGGACATCCTCCCTTAGCAAGTTGGTTTTTTAAGAAGAGTTCTACCCAAGCCTATGAAAAACCCATAACCTAGCCCAATTGTTGAGTTATTGGAGTGAGTTCCTATCAATTGGTATTAGAGCATGATCATGTGACCATGTGGATGTCGCCTATGTCGCAGGCTGTCCTTGGGCCCTCGCTGTTACCTAGAGAAGAGCATGGAGGCTGAGGAAAAGGGGATCCGCAAAATCACCCAAAGGGTAAAGAGGCCAATGCGGGTAAAGAGGCCGACGTGAATGTCAGCTGCAGAAGTGTGGTGAAATGTTAGGATCTCATATTGGAAGGGAAAATGGTGGACATGTAGATTATAAGGGTTTGGGCATCCTCCCTTGGCAAGCCGGTTTTCTAAGGAGAGTTCTATCCAAGCCCATGAAAGACCTGTGACCTAACCCAATTGTTGAGTTATTGGAATGGGTTCCTATCAGAGAGCAAGAGCTCAACATTAGCTCCAGTTATTAAACGCTTTTTTTTTTTCGTTACTGGGGTTATCCGACCAACTTACTTGCATTTCAACTAATTCTCTGGTTTTAAACAAGGCTTCCGAAACAAGACAAGCTTTGTGGTCCGTAACTGACAATATTAACAATCATTCTCTTGTGATTTAAACCCGAAACCACAGAAGAAACCCCTTGGTCCTAAGCTTTTATCACTTAGCTAACCCATTGTTGGTTATGTTGTGTTGTTTTTAACAGTTAAGGAATGCTGTTTTTTCTAGTTTTACATAGAGGGATTACCCAGAACAAAATTAGCTTACCGGAAGATGTATGAGGAGGTGGAGGACCGGTGGTTGTTGTGAGCTCCCTAAGCTGTGAATGCATGGTGTTGAGGAATGCTAGGGTTTCTTGTTGAGGTTCTTCCATGGCTTCTTTCAGCTTGCCCAATGCCAAGCAGTATGCTTCCTGCACCCATTATTAAATAATCTTTATGCAAGGGAAATTGCACACATGAAATATAGATCTCAAATCTACTATGATTTATTGATTTGTATTCCCAAAAACAAGTTCATTATAATGAAATTAATTACATAGTCAATCTTCAAGGCTGGCTCCCTTTAGGATCAATTTTCTAGGCTCGTCCCTTTGTATTCCCAAAAACAAGTTCATGATTATTAACGAGCTTAACCTAATTTCACTGCAAATTTCTAGCCTAACAATTATATAATAACTATCGAAAGAAAATTGATGGAGATCTACAGATGTTACCATGAAATGGTCAAGCTCTGAAAGATTATGCAGGCTATTACTGGGCTTGCTTTCATCATCTTGCTTATAATTAAGCTCTTGATCTTCATCTCTTTCTGCACTCGGAATGCTTCCCAACTGCCAAAATAAAAATTTAAAGCAAGATTAAGAATATTAATCAGGGTTTACTATCTAAAAGCTTCAACTAGATTTGACCCTAATGTTCTGATCAGGATCCTTGATCACTTCATAAACATACGTTACTTTTTCACACAAACATCCCGAGATTTGAGGATTAAGGGATCTTTGTTACACATTAAACCTTTGAAAGTCTTTGAAAGTTTGCAGTTTACACCCAGAGGACAAAGCAAAGCCCTATTATAGCATTATCCTAATCTCTCTCTAAACCAATAATGTTTATCCTTCAGTTTAAGCACAAAAACAAAAGAAACACAGTAAGAAAGAGAGAAAGAGAAACAGAGAAATTAAAGACCTTTAAGCAGCCCATGTGACTCTCCATCAAGAGGCCGTACAAAGGATGGTTTGAGATTCTTCTCTTGAGAGTTTCTTTATTATGATCTTTCTCTTCTTCTTCTTCCTTTTCCCTCCTGCTGCTGCTGCTGCTGCTCTTATTAGCAGCTTCCATTATTAATTATTTCTCTTCTTCTTCTTCTCTTTCTATATACAGTGTAGAGCTGAGGTTAGTTCATTGGCTTTTCCTATTTTTTGGTTGAATGTTCTGCACAGCTGGGTATTTGTTTCTATGTATGGTAAAATATTTCAGTACCTCTCTTCAACTGTTCCCAATTTCTTTCGATTGACACATGCATGCAAATATTAATTGGTTTTCGTCAGAAATCTACATAATTACATTTTAGTCCCTGTGTTTTTGCTCGACTACTCAAATATATTTTTATCAAATACTAGCATTTTAACTATTTCTAGGTAGCCGAGTGGTTCAATAGAGACTCTTGAATGTATTACTCAAGAGATCCTGAGTTCGAGTCCCTTCTCGATTGCTAATAGGGGTAACCACAAGAACTTTTATTTGACTGGTAGTTTCAAGATCCTGGGGGATTAATTAAGGTGTGCATAAGTTGACCCGAACACCCTCGGTCATAAAAAAAAAAAAAAAGTAAAAAAATACTAGCATCATACTCCTTTAATTTAACGAAACATTGTTTGATAGTTTAATCCTTGTGTTAAAATGCTTGTTCCGTAACTTGTGCGGTGTATATCCAAATGACGAAAATGCCACTTCTAGAAATTAATGAAAAATGATTTACACAAACAATATGAGTAGATAAAGTGTTTGTTCAATTACTAGAGGAGCATAGTTCACAAGTACTTACATTTATGGGGAAGTTGAAATTAGAATCAAAGATCAAAGAAATATGGGAGAGAGAAAATGGCACAAGTTGATAGGGAACCCTAAGTTCAGGAAGGAAAGGTAAGAGAATGGAACAATGGACTGGTGAGAGAGAGTAAGAGAGTGTTAGGATCCCACATTGGAAGGAAAAAGGGTGGACATGTGGGTTATAAAGGCTTGGGCTTCCTCCCTTAACAAGCTAGTTTTTTAAGGAGAATTCTACCCAAGTCTATGAAAAACCCATGACCTAGCCAAATTGTTGAGTTATTGGAGTGAGTTCCTATCAATTGGTATTAGAGCATGATCCTGCGTCCATGTGGACGTCACCTATGTGGCAGGCTGACCTTAGGCTCTGGTTGTTACTTCGAGAAAGGGCATGGAGGCCTGAGGGAAAGGAGATCCGCAAAGTCACTCAAGGGATAAAGAGTCTGACGTGAATTTCAGCTACAAAAGTGTGGTGGAATGTTAGGATCCCATATTGAAAGGAAAAATGGTGGGCATGTGGATTATAAGGGTTTGGGCATTCTCTCTTGACAAGCCGGTTTTTCAAGGAGAGTTCTACCCAAGCTCATGAAAGACCCATGGCCTAGCCTAATTGTTAGGTTATTGAAGTGGGTTCCTATCAGAGAGCAAGAGCTCAACATTAGCTCCAGTTATTAAATGCCCAAAATGTAATTATAGTTACTATTTGCATAGGAGGAAGATTAGTGAGAAATTTGAATTATGAAAAATCTTCAATAGAAAAAACCCTAATTTTATAGGGAAATATTTGAAGTTAATTAAAGAAGGCAAATGTAATTGCTTTTCAATCAAGAGTTTGAAGTTAATATTGTTCTCTGCATAAATACAAACTCAATCAAATAATTTAACTTTAATTTCTAGATAGTTATTTTCATCATTTTAGTATAATTTCTAAATCAGCTAATGGTCAACTAATAATCAAATAAATCATTAAAAAAAATCACAATATTAGTATTTAAGATAAGTATCCATAATGGTAAATTGGTAATAGACCAAAAACAAAAGGACCAAAATGTAATTATGTTGTCAGAAACCACTAATTGAATGTAGTGACCCTTACTTTCATCATCTTTAATTTGTCCTTTACCATAATCGAAAGGAACAATTCAATGTTGGTTTCTCGAATACTGGGGAACTTTGATAGTACAATTAAATTTTTATCATAATCTTTCTTCAGCCTTTTATATTTTCTCTTTATAAAATTATTCTGCTCATTCTCCCACTTTTTCCAGCAGCATGTCTTCCAAATTCGCTACTGTTTCGAATGCTGTATCGTCATTATTATTATTTATACTCATACTATTCACCAGTCTTTTGTTTTTATTCTCACTGATGGATGCCCCAACGAATGTTTCACAAACTCTTCCAAACAAACAGTTCAAACAAATCTTAGTGGTTTAAAAGATTCCCCATTTTTGAACTCTGGAAAGTCACATTTTCATCCCTATGGCTTCCTCTAAGTAACACATTCGTTCAAAAGATTCTAAAATCGACATTGGTTATTTGTGGATCAGCATTTTTTTCCTATCCAAGCAAATAGGGTAATATTATACTCATAAACCATTCTTACTTATTTTCTCTCACAAATACGATGTGTTAGTTTGTAATTAGTCAACTTATAATAGATTCCACATGCTCAATAATAGGTCATATTTGATTAAATGCGAGTTACCATGTTCCGTTTGTGAGAGTAAGTTAATAAACTGTCATGTTGTGTTTGTGATATGGTTGAAAATGCTGGCGCCTGCTTATGCACTGGGGAAGGCCTGCTCCATTGCAGAAAAAATTGAGTTTGGGCTCCGAATTTGGGTTGGATAGGCCTTATTTCCAGTGGTACAAATATTGTGGGTTAATAGGAAAAAAAATTATCAAACAAAGGGCAAGATTAATTTTCAAGTTCAATCTTAATTAAGTGTTTAAGTTGTCATAAAACCCTTCATTGAAAGGTAAAAATAGAAAATGGTTTGATGAACAACTCTTAGCTTTTGTTGGAACAATTTTATCTCCTTTGTTCATAGATGCAGCTATTCCATTTGGCTTTCATTGGTGCATCTTTAGTAGGCACAAGCACTCTCGAAGAAAATTCAAAAAAACCACGGAATTGATCTCATAATCGAGTTACATCCCTCAATAAAAGTAATCGGAAATAAGCATTTTTGATGTAGTGAAGTAAACTTGGATGGTATTCAAATGATTCATTAACTAAGCAAGAGCATCAAGATTGTTACATTTTTCGCCTTATTTACATACAACGAACCAAAATACTAAGTTAATTTATGCTTTATAATTCATATTGTATAAACCATACCAACCTCAACAAGAGCAGCATGAGGAATGTTCAATGCCACCGGAGGCTCTCTGCAATTTTTATCGAGAAAAACATAGATCATCACAAGCAAACGCTTCAGAAAGTTGGAACCATTGCGCACAGCTAAATGCGACTGCCCCAGGAAATATGCAGTACCGCTCTCTCTGGCGTCTATTAGTTCTTGTAGTTCCTTTCTTACTGACACCAGCATTTTAGGACTATTTGCTGGCAAAGCAAACCTGACCTTTTTACACTTGGCAGGAGCAGAATCCCTCTCGAATGAATCCGCCAATGGGCTTGTTTGACTTTCGTTGTTGTTTGTATGCTCATCATTGGAGTAGCTTTCATGCAAAGGTATTAAAGCATTTCCATCCGGCAATGGCTTTCCAATAACAATCATTCTTCCTTCAGCTGATGTTAGGGACTCCGAATCATTTTCTTCCACAGAAATGAATTCTCCAATTGACTTAATGATTTGATCCTCGAAATCATCTGTGTCCCTAACGCGATCACAATAACCATATCTAACAATGCAGCGATATATCTTATAATCTTTCACCCCGACCCTGCCTACAAGATAGCGCCGACTTGAGGGCACATAAGGCACTGGTAGTGACTTGAAGGACACGAAGATCAGCACTTGATGGAATGCAGGAAGATTAGTTATGAAATGAGAGAAAAAAGCTGGAATTCCTGTGACTATATCAGTGTAGATAAAGCCAATTCCGGATAACCTGGAAACTCCGAGGCCTGGGCTAAGATCTGTGAGCCACTCTGTAGATACCTTGTTTTCTAAATCAAACTCGTACTTTTTCTTGGTTCCGTAATGCCACGAAAGCATGATTGTCAAGGTCACTGCAGAAAGGACAACTAGAAACCAAGCTCCCTTGTGAAAATTCAGCATACAAGCCGAGAGATACATGACCTCAATGAAGCCGAAAAATATCAAAAAGCAAGCAGATATAAACAAGCTCCTTTCCCAGTACAGTGCAATTACAAGTGACATCAAGCACGTTGTCACTAACATTCCTGAAACTATTGCCAAACCTGCAGGGGATGCAACCAATTATTATTATGACAGAATACGCACGACACAATGTGAAATTCCGTGCCAAAATCACTATTCAAATTTATGCATGCATGTTTGAATTTTCACAGTTATTTCCAATGTGTTATAAAACATAATGAATAAAAAGCTAAATTCTGATGCACGAAGTATACTCCTTGTATACATCTGTTTCTCCTTTCTCTAGTGTGATATGTAATCCTTCTCAACCGTTTTACGGTTGCTTGACAACTTCACCAGCTTCAATCATAGTAATTTAGAGAATTGTGAGGGAAAAATGGGGAGATTTGTAAGCATAGTGTACCTGCTGCACTTCCTATTCGCACAACTTGATGGAAAGCAATTGTAACAGTGAGGCTAAGAATCATCAATAACCAGTTCAAATCTGGAATATAGACCTGCCCATGTTTCTTATCTGATGTATGTATAACTTTTACTCGGGGGAAACAACCAAATGCGAGGCACTGGTTTATGATGGAGAAACTGGCTGTTATGGTAGCTTGGCTTCCAACGGCTGAAGCAATTAGAGACAATACTACAAAGATATGGCGGATAGATCCTGGACTCGCCATATTGTTTCCATGAGTTAGCAAAACAAATTCTCAGCGGAAGCAGTTGGAAGAAGCAGAAATAAAACAAGTATCTGACTTACTAGGCATTGATGTACTGAGATGATTAAAGTTATCAGAAGCATTCAAGTGTTTGGAGATAAATGCAGCTTGACCAGCATAGCATAAAATTAGAATCGGATAAATTAAGCTGACAAATGTCATCTGCAATGTAGACAGTAAAAACACATTGTTCATAACTGTTTGGAGTACAACTTCTACTGAACTGAGATGAGTGAAGGTAAACTCTATTTAGTACCTCAATTGATTTCTTTGAGAAATGACCTACATCCGCAAACATTGACTCTGATCCTGTAGACAAGAAAATTTTCACATACAACTAGTCAAAATAATTGATAATTATTCATTTCAAAGAAGCCCTGACATGTAAAATGAAATATAACTCAAGTGGAACACACAAGCAGTTCAATCAACACCAACCTGCAACACAAAGTAGAATACTGCCCAATGAGCTCCAACTATCTTTGTCAATATTTTTTACAAATCTATACACGTATGTTGGGGAGATTGCACAAAAGATGTGCGGGTTCCAGACGAGAATATTGTAGAAACCCACTCCGCCGATAAAAAAGAGCCACAAAATAACAACCGGAGCGAAAATGAACCCGATTTTATGGGTTCCATAATGCTGCAGCGTGAAAAGGCATACCAGTATAGCACATGCAAAGGGAACTGGTACATCTGAAACAAACAAAAATGTCAAGCAAATTCACAGATTAGTATTGTGAACTACAATTATCCATGTCAGTTAAAAAAAACATTAATATTTCAGACTACTAACAGGCCATCTCTTGTATAACGTAGACCAAGCTCAAATGCATACAGAACGCACAGAATGGACCAAGCCAAAAGAGACACATAAAGAACAAACAAATGAAAGGCACATGACATATGTAGGATTCGAGCGTTACATATTGAAATGAAACAAAAACGTGTGAAAGAGATTCAAATGAAAGAAATTTGCCTCACATTAAGAGTACTTACATTTCTTAAACTGATCTGATAATTCCTCCTGTTTATCAGGTGAAGAAGAAACTGAAAAGATCACAAGATACAACAAGGTTTAGATCATGAAAGGATGACTAATAGATTTGATATGACATTATGGAACAATTCTTTCTCCTATGTTTTTAGTCTTAATAATACTCAATCTTGTTTCTAGCTCTTACATATAGGCGCCATATCTGACAATGATCGTTGAAGACCTTGTGAAGCTGATAACACTGGTAAATAGAAAAAGAAAAGGAAAAAAAATCATCTCCGTTGATCCATTAATCATAGAAGAAAACAGGAAACAGATAGAAGGCCAATGAAGTTATCAGATCGCAAACCAGAAATAGCTGGAGTGAGCACCCCATCACCAATCATCATACATGAACCGAAGAGTGCCAGAAACAGCATTAGATAGTGGCTACTCTTATGTTTTTGAATGGCCCTTCTAGCTCTAGATTCAACCTTGATCCTAAATGGGCTTCCCACATCATAGCTCGTGACCTCATTGACACTCTTGTCATTGGGAAGCAGTCCAACTTTAGCGTGCCTACATAATAATGAGTATAAAGCAAAAGGACCACCTGCAAGAATATGCTAAAAAATCAAACTGAAATCCTGCAAAACTGATTCTTTCAATCATACAGTGAAAAAAGTCGTTACCTTCTCCATCATCATCAGCCTTCAAAACAATGAGGACATACTTCAGTAATGAAACAACGGTCAGAGTCCAGAAAATAAAGGAGAAGAGTTCATATACAGTCTCCTCTGATTTGAAAGCATGTGAAGGACGATCCCCTTTTGTAAAAAGTGTCCCAAAGACATATAAAGGAGCGGTACTCAGACGACCATAAACGATTCCAATGCTTTGGAAGGATAAAAGGAGTGTATACCTCCATGACTCCCTCTGCAGAGTATCAAGTCAGCAAAAAACATCAGAGCACGAAAGCTGAGTACAGCAGGCGCATTGATATAGCAGTCAAAAAATGATTGGGTTTGGATGGACAGAAGAATGAATACACTGACAATTGTGAGGTCACTTGCTATGTATCCACAAACAAGGAAGAACATAACACTGGCAGAGTATAATTATCAAACATTTTCAGATTTACATAAGCTCAAACACAAACCAGCTTCAGCTAAATTTGTATATAATTTACAATAAAGATCAAATGTTACAGAGATTAGTATCTTCAGAAAACTCATCTAAAAGTTTGAGAAGACTCAAGTATTATCTCTTCAATCAGATCAGGTTTATTTTCAGACTAGAAACGACTATCTGCAGCTGGTAAGACACTGTTCAAACAGGAGTGGTAAATCAGTTAATTTGTGCTTTTGCAATCACAGTTAGAGTTCCTTAAACCTTACGGATTTGCTTTTAAGCTTTACATAAACATCCTCCACTCAAAACACATTTACTTAGTTGGGACAATCCAAGGTTTATAAACTTGTTCAAACACAGAGTTGCCAGTAATGCAAGTTATGTCAGTTCAAGTAGCTACATATTCCATTGCAAAATTACATGAACAAAATTTGATGCCAGGTCGACAACATTAAAAAAAGGCTGCAGAAATAGTTATCCATGTTAAGTACAATACACTCTCTTAATAATTCCAACTAAAATATAATCCCCAAAGTTTTAAAATCAACAAAATCCACCCTAGAAAGTTGAAAGTACAAACATATCATAAGAGTAATTTCTGTTGTTTCTGAAACTGATGGGGTTTATTCTAATGATCCATAACTACCATCAGATCATATGATCTAAATCCAAAAGTCTCCACAAATAACTATCAATGGATAGCTTAAAAAACCCTCATAATTATCTCAAAAAACAATAAAACCCTTAAAAACTAACACAAATCACCTCAAAAAGTACAAACATTTCACATTTCATTCAACACACACAAGTGGGTTTATGCAGTAGAAAGAAGCAAACTAGTTACATTATAATCATATGATCTTAATCCAAAAGGTTTCATGGATAGGTAAATTAGTAAACACTCTTTGTTATCCAAAAATCAATAAAACCCCTAAAGTTTAAAAACTGACACAAACTGCACCTAGAGTACAAATGTCTCAGAGGTCCATTCTAAACATTTCACCCGCCACCAGAGCTACTGAGTTTACTTAAACAACTGGATCAAGTCACACAGAAGTGGGTTTATGTTAATGCAGCAGAAGAAACCAGAAAAGAAAGAATGAAAAATGTACCTTTAAGCTGTTAGAGAAGGTGCTGGGGCTGAGAGGAGGATCCATTAGACTTTACAAACGAAGGAAAAAAAAAAATGAATGAATGTATGAAGAAAGGACACTGAGTAGCGATGAAATCTAAGAAAAATATTTTTTTTTTTTAAATTAGAAAAATAAACAAGTGGGAAGTTTTTGTTGTGTTGTGTTTTGACTGGTTTTACAAGAAGAATGCTCAACTGTTTTCTTCTGTTTCTGTTTTTGGTAGTTTATTTGAAGCAACGGTGGAAGAGAGGGAAAGCTGGACTGATTGTGATGGGACGGACGGCTATGATTTATTAAAAATTGTAGAAATTGATAATTAAATTTTATTTAATGGGAATTATTTTTTGATTGTGATATTCGGAAATTATAAATAATCCCGTTCACGTGGGATGAACTGGCATTTGTGGGTTCAGACTTCCATATCAATATTATTGATTTTTATTTTTATTTTTATTTTTTTTTATGACTAGAGTATTCTATAGTTTGTGCACACTTATAGGTGTATTTATTTTATTATTTGGATTAGTATTTTTGAAAAAAGTTGAGTTTATATTATACGAGGTAAGATTTAAATTAAAAATGCGTTTTTTTTTAACTCCTATATTTATTAATTTAGTTAAACACCCATACAATAAAAATTTTAAATTAACAAAAACACCCTATCCACCCATTAAATGTCGACAACCAATTGACTGTCAGGATATGTGAGTAGGTGAGGGTTTTTTTATCATATAAACTTTTATTATAGAGAGTGTTTAGTTAAATTAACAAACTTAGGTGGTTTAAAGATATTTAATAAAATAGAATTAGATTTTTAGAATAGGGAAATAAATATAATTTTGGATAGGATGGTGAAATAATGCCCAAAAGACTATTTGTAGGGATTTTGAACTATCATCGAATAAGAGTTTTAATACCACAACTATTGGCAATTCTAGGGACTCGAACTCGAGAAAACAAAGACTTTGTTGTTTGATACTACTTGTATTAATTTCACATTATTTAATATCAATTTATATATATATACTTGTTTAATTAAAGGTGTAATTTATGTGCCAGTTAACCACCACTAGGTTGCCCAACGGTCAACTAGAACTCTTGAGTATATTACTCAAGATGTCATGAATTCGATCCACCTAGTCCCTAATAGGGGTGAACACTGAAAAGATTTACCCAGCGGTAAACTTCAGGGCCCAAGAGAGTAGTTGAGGTGTGCGCAAGCTTGCCTCAACACCCTGATGTGCCAGTTTCAACTTCAGGGTCTAGAGGAATTAGTTGAGGTGTGTGTAAGCTGATCTTAACACGCTGATCATAGAAAAAAAAATTATGTGCCAGTTCTCTGTTTACAATACTTGTCATGGATCACAATTCATATCGCATGGGCTGTTTTTAGGTTGCCGGTATTCATGATTTGTCCATTTTTGAGCAAATTTCGGATTTTGGTTTGACTTGTTAGGGATAAGTTGATGGGATATATATTGTAGATCAAAAAATCTACTCTTATGAAATAAGGTTTGATCCCGTGAGGTTGAGCCACAACAATCCGTTAGACCTACACACATGAAAGGGCAAGCGTGAAGCTTCCGGAAAACACTAGGGTGGTGTTTGCCGTAGGCACTCCAACGCTCAAGTCCACAAGGCTGAAGAGAGATTATTTGATAAGAATTAAGGAGATGAAAATTACCAAGAGTCTTGTCGGAAGCTAGGACTATGGTGGAGGCGTCGGGTTCTTGGGAGCAAGAACTAGGAGCAAATAGATGGTTTTGAGTAGTGTAGATTGACTATAGAAGATTGCATGCATAATGAGAGGCAAGCCTTTGTTTTTATAGTGAACCCAAGGGGTTGGAATCTTAGTAGGACATTGAGTCCTCTTTTTTGGGAGATAATCTCTATCAAGAATAAATATGATTTATTGACCTTATCAGATTAAGTTGATAGTTTGTAAGATTAGAATCTTGTAGGATACTAAGCTGGTCAAGGACCAGTCCCAAGCAGGCCTGGGCCTGGCCCATTTGGGAGGTCCAATGGGACTAGTCGCTCATAGGCATGGGACCAGTCCCAAGCCCATGAGTAATATGAGGACCCAACCGGTCCTATGGGCTTGAATAATTTCTTTTCCCCCTGATTTTTTTTTATATTTTGGGGGCGAATAAAATTTTATAGGGGTTTTTAATATTTTTCAAGGGTATTTAGTAAGTTTTTAAAATTTTTATTATTAAAAAATAAATAAATTAATTATAGTTAATTTAATTTTTAACATAAATTCACATTTCACACACTTCACAATAAACAATTAATAATTTTTTTTTTTAAATTATTTATTTTCATCGTCAACAATATTTACATCATTGAAATCTGTATTCCTAAAGAGTTCAAGTTGTTCGGGGATCTTTAGGTACGGTTGTAGTCTTCTTCTGCATGAGTCTAATCCCGTAAACACGTTATCACTTCAATCATCTCATCAGTTAAAACCATCTTCTGTCTTCAACAATCCGACCACTCGTTGAAAATGTTGACTCGGATGCATTAGTAGAAACCGGCACAGATAATGTACGTGCCATTTGGGCTACAATGAGAAATCGACTTTCATGTTGGTTCCACCATTGAAGAATATTCATATCATGTTGGTTCCACCATTGAAGAATACCATATCATGTTGCTCCTTATTGTCATAAAGGACAGGTCCACTTGTACGTAGCGATTCAGCTCATTTGGTCCATGTATGTACGAGCTGGAGTGCTACTTCTGCCACGTTCCACATACGTCCAGTTGCTCGTCATTGACGAAGGGCTGCATTAAGATCCTGATCCTCTCTCTTGAACGTTCCATGTAATACCCCACTTGAAATACGTAGCCACTTTTACGGTATGGCCTAAAGAATTACTGAATTGCCCCTAAATGAGTTTTATATAGATTCATGTTCTTTGGTTGAGTTTAGTTTTGGGTTTGGTTGAGTGTGTACCCTGGAATTGATCAAGACTTAGCAAATTTTGGAGTTTCAGTTTTCGCCGGGGCGAAGAAGAAGCTTCGCCGCGGCGAGGAGGAGAAGTTGCATTACGGGTAGGTTTCTGCCCTTTTCGCCGACGACGAAAAATCTTCGCCCCGGCGACGAGCTAAACAAAGATTCTTGAGTTTTCTAGAGAATTCTTCTTTTGGGACACAATGACCATTCTACCCCTAATTAGTAGGAAAAGTAGGGAGTAAAATGAAAGGAAATTTGATAGAGATTGTGTTTAGATGGGGGTGTATTTGTAAAGAATCAAAGGATATAGATGGAATTTTCAAGAAAGAGTAAGGGCAAAATGGAAAGAGTGGATATTATATGAGTTAATAAGGGTTGAGTTCTCTAAACCCATTATTTTACCCTTTCCACCGCCTTTTCATCTCCCATTTTCTCTCAATTTCTCACTCAATTTTCTAAGGGATTTTGAGAGTTTTGAGTTGGAATTGACAAAGAAGTGATCCTAAGCAAGAAGAGGTAAGAATCCCTACTTAGAGATGAATTTTATCATGTAGGTTAAGTTCTTACTAAGTTTATGCTTAGGAAATAAGGGAAAGTTATGATCCAACAAGAGTAGAGAGCTTTAGTGGAGACTACTCAAGTATGAGGTAATAAATCCAACCAGCTAAATTTAAGAAATTCTTAGGTAGAGATTTATTATGCATGTATATATGCTTATTGAGAAATTGAGTAGAGATGTATGTTTATTTGTTGAGAAATTGAGTTGAGAAGAGTATTTATGTTATGTTGTTGGATATTTCCTTTATGGAAAGTGTTTATGAGTAATAGTTTGAGTGAAGTTGGAGGAGATTGAGTATGTATTTTGGGAGTGTTTTTCTATGATAGGGTTTATGCCCATAGAAGGAATTTACTTCCAATTCTGGATGGTTAAAAAGAGAAGAGAGTTGTAGTTAGAGAAGAGTTTTTTATATGCACATAAGTTGTTTGATGAAATGCCTAAGTGAAATCTGCCCTGTCACTACCGTAACTTTCTAAGTGATTTTTGGGCATGTTACGGATTGAACTGGGCTGAGACCAAAACATAGAAGTTATAGCCCTATTTCTAAGCTTTAAAACGAGACCAGAACCGTAGCAATCAGAGGTGTATAATGAAAGTTATGGTCTTTTTAGTGTGACCTGTGCAGAATGACTGTTTGAGGAAATCTTGCATTTGCATTTCAAAAGTGCATTAATAAGTATGAACCATCCATATGCATAAGTTGTGCATTAAGAAGTGTTTAGAAGAATATAGAATGTTGAGTATGAGCTACCTTGTGAGTTCTAGCTTAAGAGTAAAGAATTTGAAGATAAGCTATACTATAAGTAATAGCTTGAGTAAGAAAGAGTAGAGAATGTTGAATAGCAACTCTTAAGAGTAAAGAGAATGAGAAACCTCTGATAGCAAAGAGAAAAGTTGAGAAAGAGTAGAGAATTACTCTAAGAGTTAAGCTACATTATGATGAGTAGCTAGAGAAAGAATAGAGATCTTGTGCACAAGAGTTAAAGAGGAGAATAGAGTTAGTTGTGCGATGGGGAACCTGTGAGTGACGAGTAGAGTCACGCAGAGTGGAACACGAGGTTCCAGCCGTGCCTCCGGTTAGATGAGGCCGTGACCGTCACGCAGAGTGGAACACGAGGTTCCAGCCGTGCCTCCGTCAGATGGGGCCGTGACATTCAGAGAGAGAGATTGTACACTCATATGGTCAAAGGTTCTGAATCCATGCATAACTAAATCCGATCGGTAGCGAATTAGCGGAAGTCACGTAGAGTGGTAGCGCCAGCCGTGCCTCCGGTCAGATGAGGTCGTGACATTCCAATGAGTAAGATGAGAAGGAAAGAAATAGATAGAACAGAGATGAGAAAAAAAACTAAGAGTTAAGCTATATTATGAGTAGTAGCTTGAGTTGAGTACTAGTTTGAGAAAGAGATGACAAACATGAGAAAAATAAGAGAGAGATAAGAGCATAGAGTAGGTTATGCATGGGGAACCCGTGAGTAATGGGTAGAGTATTCCCGCATGTACGTCGTATTGAGAGGCGGCATGAGTATCAGATAGAGAAGTGGTGTAGCCCGTGAGAGTGCATGTGGA